GATAAGAGGCATTCTATCTTAGTCCTCACAGTTGACAACGCATCTGCATTTTAATTCGCAAACGAGAATAGATGTTGATGTCTATGGGCCGCAGCAACCATTTACCATCAGGTGGACTGTGTGATCGTTTGTCAACCCAATTCTATAAAAAAAAAAGATGGGCAGCAGCATCTTCCTGATAACAACCCAAATTAATAAAAAAAAATTGTTGTTGCCCAATTACGTCAAAATCTATGAAGGAGGCCTATGTGGACTTTTATAGGCTGTAGTGGATGCATGACTGGGCAGCCGAGTGTTGCGGATTTAATACCCAGTACGGGTATATATTAATATCTGTGAAGAATACAAGTTTAGCCAGCGACGGGAACAGCATCAAAGGTGCGAAACTTCTAGCGCAGACATTGTCAATTGCCTTGACAACTAAATATTGAATACACTAATGTTTATTTTTAAACAATTTTTTTTAATGGTATGTGACGATCGACATGTGAATTTCGCCAACACACGAGCAAGGTGACCAGACTATTCGTTCCATAATCTTCCCAAAAATGAGAGATGGCCTGTTGCCCAGCAGTTTTTTTATAGAATGACATTGACAAACGCGCACACAGTTCATTTGATAGTAAGTGGATGCTGTAGCCCATAAACATCGACATTTATCCTCAAAATGCAGACGTTGTCACCCCTAAGGACTAAGATGGAATGCCTCGTTTCCAGTAAAAAGGGTCTCCGGTCCTCTACACACACCGTACTAAACACAGCAGCATTAAGCTGCTAATTTACGCTTGTATTCCGTTAGAGCGTGGTCCTACCCCGGCCGAGCCAACCAATTCGTGCTATAACCTTGATATAGCTGCAGCGTAGCTCTACCACGTAAACTGTATAAGTATATTATTATACAACTTTTTACGCAAATTTTAGTTCGGTGTGATTCGAACCTTGGACTCATGGCGTAGCCACGTCCGTAAAAATACGACTAAGAGTCTTGTTATTTAAGATTGCCGAGATAACAATTCCTATACCTAGCAGAGACCGTGACATTAAAATCTTCATCCCCTATTTTTTTTTAATAGGAGAGGGGGCAAACGAATATATGGCTCACCTGATGGTAAGTGACTACCGCCGCCCATGAACAACTGCAACACCAGGGGAATTGCAGGTGGGTTGCCTGCTCCTTAGAAAAACGTAAGCTCTTCTCTTGAAGGCCCCTAAGTCATATCGGTTCGGAAAAATCGCCGGTGGTAAAAACTATTATATGAATATATAACCCCGTTTTTTTAACTCGGTTAAAACTTAACATGATAATAAATTATAATTAATAATCATTTCTCAAATTAAGAGTACCCTTAACCGACGAATATGTATCCGTAGGTATATGGATGTGGAAGAAACGAGAGAAGTGTGCCAGGATCGTGCCAAATGAAAGTATGTAGTCTCTGCCTACTCCTCTATTTATGTTATGTTATCATTTTTCTCAATAATACTCCGAAAAATTTCCAATCCTACATAAATCAACACCTGAGCAACAACAATAATATTTAAAATTAAACGTTATAGGAACTTTTTTATAAATGGTCATCGAAAAAAATACAAAACTGGTAAAACTGGCACGCAACCAACCTGTCAGAAATAAAAGACGACCTTGAAATCTTTTAACTCTCTCGCATATTCAAAAAAATGTGAAGAAGATAAAAGTATGATATTATACATACACTGTACAGTCATCGATCACTAAAGTGATCGATGACTGTACAGTAAAAAAGCTATATACCTATAACCGCGTTTAACTCCAAATATATGATAATAAGAATGTCGTATTTGATTTAAAGTACATGTGGTAGAGCCATGCTGCAGCTATATTAGTAGTATAGTTGTAGCACGAATAGGTCGGCTCGACCGGGGAAGGACCACGCTCTCACAGAATACCAGCGTAAAATAGCAGCTTAACGCTGCTGTGTTTCGTATGGTGAGTGTAGAGAACCGGAGACCCTTTTTACTGGAAACGAGGCATTCCATCTTAGTTCTCACGGGTGACAAGGCATCTGCATTTTGATTCGCAAACGAGGATAGATGTAGATGCATGTGGGCCGCAGCAACCACTTACCATCAGGTGGACTGTGTGCTAGTTTGTCACCCTTATCCTATAAAAAAAAAACTGAGCGCACCTTTCAGTTTTTAACTTTTTATTTGAACAAAGGAGGTTTGGCAGGAAATTGCAAACATTGCTTAAACAAAATGTACAGGCTTGTTCAAATACTTTTAAATTCCATAGAGTATTGCCAAAAGATATCGTTAAATATTTTAAAACTATTGATGTTAAGAAAACGCCAGACTTAGGGGGATTTCCGGTTTTTTACCTATAATAGATACAATAGCACCTTATCTAGCCATTATATTTAATACAAGCGTCCAATCTGATATGATTCCTGATTTAATGAACAAAGACCTTTAAAAAAACCTTTATTTAAATCTGGTAGTAGATTAGACCCCGCCAATTTTAGACCAATTTCTGTACTACCAACATTTAGTAAAACTTTTGAAAAAATAATTTTAGATCAGATGTTAACTTTTTTTTATTATTAATTGCTTCATAAAAATCAATTCCGTTTTACAAGGGGTCGCGACAACTGATCCAGCATCAGCTTATTAAAGATATTTTTGGTGCATGTGAGAATTCAGACGATGCTTTGGGTACATTTTTGAGACCTTTCCAAGGCCTTCGACTGTGTTCACCACGAGATTTATCAGGAAACTACAGACCTATGATGTCAAGAACACAGTCTTATCAATGGTAGAAGTTCTTTCGGATCACCTGCACTAATGGGTGTCCCTCATGTCTGCATTCTTGGCCCATTCCTATTTGTAATGTATTTGAATGACTTACCTTCCCTTGTAGGGGATAATCATGTTATAGTATTAATAAATATTACATTGTATAAATTTTACTCCCATAAATATTACAATGTGATGCATACATATAGTGAAGAAGTTTTTAAACGAATTATTATAAAGGTAATAACTCTTAAAGATGTCTTATATCTACGCGAATACTACACATTGAACAAAACAATTTTTACATACTCTTTACATCTCAGTCCCACGTCACGTGACCATGGGTACTGTAAAGCACCCGGCACGTCGGGAATTAAAAAAAAAAGTAAATTAAACGCGATAAAATCCGTAACAGTAGTTTATTCACTCTTAAAGATGTTAACATATTAATGATTTCTTATATATACGCGAAGACTACACATTAAATGAAAGTAATTTTTACGGGTTCTATCGCGTTTAATTTAACTTTTTAATTCCCGACGTTTCGGGTGCTTTACAGCACCCATGGTCACGGGAGACTGAGGTGTTTGACGTCCCGATGTCATAGTTAGCCCAGCTACCTTCAGTTATTGAATATTAATTTTTGGTCCGATCTATGCAGAATGAGCTTACAGTATCTTGAAGTCTTGCAGTGGTATGCTTGGGTTTGGATTTAATTTTATTAATTATAGGATCCCACGCAGATGGCAGCGCCCATCCATCTTCTCTATTGAAATTATTAATCGCACCATCATCCATCACAGTTAGCTACCGTGGGAAAATCTTTGTTTCAGAGAGCACGAGGGATCTGTGACAGAAAACATCGGGCCGCCGAGCTTCAGCACGCGAGCAAGTATTGCAAGACAACAAGCTTCGGGTCCCGCGCCTACGTCACAGTGACCGAGTGAAGCCGGCCACAGTCGAGCGTGTGCCTGCTGTACTACCCTATGTCAGAGGAGTCACAGACAAGGTTGGCTACATTTTGAAGGGAGCTTCTATTAAAACATACCTTAAGCCGCCGAAGAAGATTAGTCAATTTTTACCGTCCGTCAAGTGTCATATCACTCTACAAGATGCAGGAGTGTACAAGCTGGATTGTGAATGTGGTCTCTCTTACATAGGACAAACAAAAATATCTATTAAAACCCGCGTGAAAGAACATATAGCTGACTTGAAGCACCGACGTTCCGGGAAGTCTGCAGTGTGTGAACATGTTCTGGATCGTTCCTGCCATTACATTAGATTTGATAAACCACAAATCCTCGCAAAAGAACATCTCAGCCCCCCCCCCCCCCCTCCCCACCCGGTGACCACGTCGGTGAAACGTCGGGAATTAAATTAAACGCGATAGCATCCATAAAAAATAGTTTCATTTAAAATATTAATTAGATCCTGATGTGTCTTACCTAGTTTGAAGATCTTAACTAATAAATTTTTTAACATCTATAATATAATGGATTTCCGCAAAGTAACACCTGATTCTATATTTTTTTTAATAACTCGACACTGTCAAAAGTACGACCGAACGAATCAGTTACCAAAGAAAGAAAAATATTATCAAAATTTTATATCAACAATGCGTTTATTTTTATTCATCGCCGATGCAGACTACCTACTCGTCGTGTTGTCGCACATCACCACCCATATCGTCCGTCTCGTAAAAGGCGACTGTGGGAAATGACGGAAAGATTTATTGACTTCCGATACGTACGTCATGTACGTAATAATGCCTCACAGCAATGGAGTGGAATAATTTGCCGGCGTCTTCTCCGTCCGAATACAATCTAGACGTCTTCGAGGCAAGAGTGAATCGGCTTTTTACGCTAAGAAAATGCGATGTACCGTGTAGGGCTTCATCACCATTTACCACCAGGTGGAATTGTGGTCAAACACTGTCTTATAATAAGTTAAAAATGACGTCATAGCCATCTCGCTTACGCCAGACGTAAAATACTACCTACCTGCAACGGGTAGCAACGTCAAAGATGTGAAAGGCCTAGTACTTCGATTCTGAAGGCCTAGTACTTTCGACTTCCTTGCAAGCGTAGCGATTAAGAAAAATCCTCCCTTAAATGGGAAGGAGCCATGTCCAGCAGTTTTTACGGGCTACTGAATGAGGTTCAGTTTCAAAACTAAGACCTAGTTAGCAGATATTTTAATATGTAAATCATAAATAATAACAAACTTACCTATCACAGGTTGGGGGCAGGTTACTCCTATCCGCCCCCACGAACGCCACCAGGGCCACGACAAGTAAACACCATGTATTCACCATTGTCAAACAATTAATGGCACGTCACTACACTAACTTAGCAGCTAATATCACTCAATTAAACTATAAATAAATAGAGGAACAAGGGATTTCACTAACTAATGCTAGATCACTTTAAAAGTTTGGAGTACTTTGGTTTCTCTGCTATTTGTGAATAAGGTCTGTAATTACGTGTTCAAGTATGTGTTAAGTATTTTAAAAGGCTTCCTTCTGAAGGGTTGGTTGGTCATTTTGGGTGGTATGGCGACGGTGAAATCTCCACGGTAAACGGCACTCGCGTGCCGAACTGCATCTGTAACAAAGAGAATCGAAATTTAAGATAGTTATTTAAGATAGTTATCTTTATATCTTTTACAATTTTCTATATTATCTTTTACACACACAATCAAGATATATACAAAGAAATATGATTATTATTTTGAGAGATGATAGCACGCGGTCTAAGTGCTCGCTGTAAATTTAAAGTTACATCATCGATGAAGGGTCACTGCCTGTAAAGTGTATGAATATATAATAATACTCGTACCTGCTAAGTGTATGAATGCTCATCACTAGGCAGAAAAAAACGATTGTTAGCAAATTATTATCACATCCGAATTTTTTATTAATTTCAAAGTAGCATTTATAGTTTTACCTTTATTACTATTATTAAGACCTGTACGTAAGTTTACGATTTCTTAGATTACATGTCGGTTATGAGGTATTGTCTATTGAGTTATATCCAGTATGCGAGCAACTCGGGATCGATCCCCGCTGTCAACAATATAAAAGTTAATTGCAATTTTAAGTGCTGATTGGCACCACGTTCTCGGAGTTACCAGTGAAGGAAAACACCGGGTCCTCACGTCAATGTCACACGTCGTAGAAATTACAAAAAGAAAGATAAGAAAAGATATGAGCATCGGGAGAAAATTTGTAGTTTTTATATATTATAGAGATCCTAATTACCTATACGCTGACTTGAAACGATATGAATGTGGGCGCGATTTTTGACACGATACGGTTAGTGATACGATATAGTCGAAATAAGCGTCAAAGTACTCGATACAATACGACTGATCAAGTTACGTATAGACGATCAAGTGTGAAACCAGCCTAACGCGCTGCTACTTCAGATCGTACGTTCTCCGCTCAGAGCTTAAATCTAAGATTTTAATATAACGTTAAGAAAATCATCATCATCATCAATACAGTCTTTCACAAAACCTCTGCTGAATATCCTAGCCAATAAGCACCATCATGAGTCACTTAAATCTATCGACATCCAGCATGTCTTACCAGGATTCAGCTTACTGATAAATTGTGTTTTGTCGGTTACTCTAGTTCTCTTTATAGCACCTCATGGTAAGTGGATGCTGTGGCCCACAGACATCTACGTCTATCCTCGATTAAGAATCGGAATGCAGATGCGTTGTCACCCCGGAGGACTAAGATGGAATGCCTCGTTTCCAGTAAAAAGGGTCTCCGGTTCTCTACACAGCAGCTTTAAGCTGTTATTTTAAAGCTGGTATTCTGTGAGAGCGTGGTCCTACCCATTCGTGTTACCACCATAATATAGCTGCAGCGTGGCTCTACCACTACTACCACAACGTGGCTCTTCTTCTCTCTTAGCTCTTACTCTTGTTCTACTGCGGATATCATCATTTCAGGTTCTATAACGAAGAGAAATTCCGAGCATAGCCCTCTTGAATGTCTCTTTAAATTTCACTACACATGCATTAAATAAAAACAACATAGCAAGCAGAACACGATACGAACGTGACATTTTAGAAAACTGATTAGGTCGCCGTAATAAAAATACTTTTCCCTGATAATGCTAAACCTTTCCAAGAAATAAGACCGTTTAATTATAATTAACAACGTAAATAGCTTCAGTTGCCGTATTGCAGTAGCATAAGCCAACCGCCACTCAACGAGCTTATCTACGTTGAGTTTCTTCAATCGATAACGCTAATAAAAAAACTATGAAAATGATGGGAATTAAATAATATCGACGTTAACTTTTATTTTATGTTTGAAGTCGTCTAAAAACTAACATAAAAATTTTTATAATGATTTCTTATATTTACGCGAACACTGCGTAAATCGAACCAAAAATTAATATTAAAAAAAAACTGAAGGTAGCCGGGCTAACTATGACAGCAGGACGTCAAACACCTCAGTCCCCCGTGACCACGGGTGCTGGAAAGCACCCGAAACGTCGGGAATATAAAAATAAGTTAATATACGCGATAAAATCCGTAAAATTAGTTTTATTTATTTAAAAATACAAATTTTTAATGAAAAGGAGAAGACTTTTTGGTACTCGTATCTATATTACACAACATTATTATGTTCATTGTGAATCGATTTTAATGTTTTTTTTAAATTATTTTTCAAACAGTATAGGTCACCTCAAGGGTGCCAATAAAGTTTTATTTATTAACAATACATTTGTGGTTTCTGCACTCATGCAAAAGTGAGATCGATTTTAGCGAGTGACGAAGACAGTGTCGCGATAAACAACTATTGTATAATTGTACTGCATATTGTTTAAAAAAATAAATAAGAAATATATATATTCACCGATTTCTCGGAATCGACTGAAAAGATTTTAAATATATTTCTTTTATTAAAAATGTTATAGGTACTTCCAAGGTCTCATATAAATTTTAAGAAAAATTTCCACCCCAAATGATGGAAAAATACGTGACAAAGACAAACTTGTTACGTAAATGCTTTAGATGATATTTTAGTTGTTACCTTCAACTTGTGACATTACTAAGTCCAATCAAGAGTCAAATTATTAAACTTAACAAGAAAACAAATAAGACTATTGAATATATTATATACTAGCTGTGCCCCGCGACTTCGCTCGCGTGGAATTTATTACGATTAGATTTTATGGATTTTAATTCCCTCTTCCCTCGGATCTCCGTAAGGAACAGTTGTGTCTCTGGAGCTATTTTAAATTCGTTTATTAAAAAATTAAAATACAATCAGTATTATTAAATTCGGACAAAATAATAGGAGTGCATAAACTTGAAGGTGCAAACAGTTTTACTACCTCTCAGAACTTCCTGAGTGCCTGGTACTTCGTGCTCCGCCTACTGTTGTGACGCAAGTATAAATGACTACCATTCCTGTGCGATCGCTTTGACACCATTTTTGTTGAGCAACAGCCGCACTCCCACATTTCAACGCCACCCAATTAGCGGTCTAAGAAGGTGCAAACAGTTCTACTACCTCTTTCAACTTTATGAGCGCCTAGTACTTCGTACTCCGCCTACTGCTGTACGCAACTACAATTACAACCAATTCTGCGTTAGCGTAACGTCACTATTTGTGTTGAACAACAGTCACACACCCACGATTGCATCGCCACCCAATTAAGGGCTACTACCACTACCTACCACTGCACTAAAGCCATCTTAGAGGCAGTATGGCCACACGCCCCGACGCTACGTCATCCGCGACATCGGCAGCGGCGAATACATCTCCTAGTAGCTCTGCTACCTTAGTACATACGGATACTGTACTCAACAGAACTGCCTCTGACACGGATCTCTCGCTTATTACGCCTCCAAACTTTGTTTCCCAAAGAAATAAGAGACGCAGGGACCAATTGGATGATTCGATGTCTAACCAAATGGATGATTTTAAACAAGAAATGCGTAGGTTAATGACATTTTTTTCTGCCTCCCAAACCAACGAACTTAAACAAGTAAATACCGTACTTAAAGAGATACAACAGACAAATAATAACATTGAAAGCTCAGTCTCTTTCTTAGCCGCACAAAATGAGGAGTTTAGGCAGCGAATAATCGAACTTGAAACACAGGTTAAGCAGGATAGGAATTATATTACTGTTCTGGAGAATAAAATGGAAGAATTACAATTGGAAAATCGTAAGTCGAGCTTCGAAATTAAAAATGTTCCGAAAAAGCCTAACGAAAAAAAAGAAGACCTTATTGATATGGTTAGTGCTCTCTCCAAGTCTCTGGACTACAATATCACCAAAATGGATATTAAAGATATTTACAGAGTGCGGCCAAAGTCCATTAACAATAAAAGCCCAACCATTGTAGTGGAAACAAGTTCGACCATACTAAAGAATGATTTACTAAAAGCAGCAAAATCATTTAATATCAAACATAAATGTAAGCTGTGTGCCAAACATCTCGGCTTTAAAACACAAGAAGATACCCCTATATTCCTGTCCGAGCATCTAACCCCAAAAGGAGCGCGTTTACATTTCTTGGCGCGTGATCTGGCCAAGTCAAAGAACTATAAATTCTGCTGGACCGCCTATGGTAAAGTGTATGTAAGAGAGAATGAAAACTCTCCAATTATAATGATACGTAATGAAAGTCAAGTACACCAACTTCTGGGTAGTCAGCAGCAGGGACCCCAAGTAATCTGACTATCTGAACATGTACTACCAACCTCTGGTATTACTGTTATTACTAAGCTCACCCAACTGATAAACTCTGTTATTCTGCCTGATTATCTGTTTTTATTGTGTTATTTGTATTTTTTTTCTCTGTTTCACTTTGTAAAAACTTTTAGAATTATTATTAAGCATAAAAATCCAATATATGTCACACATTTCTTCTACCATACTTTACAGACTCAATTATATACTCAAAAATCCTCATACATTATTCCTCTACAACAGTCTTCATTCAAATCTCTATACACACAACCACCAAACGAAATAAATCTTTACCTCATTCTGATAGAACGAAACCTTCCTCATATAACTAAAATCATTATAACTAGCCATAATCCTGTAGTAACGATATTTGCATTTTTCTATACACCAAATGGGTGATCCTCAACTTTGTAATTTGAATGTGATAGACGGTATTGATATTTCTCGTGCAATAGAGTGTGACTGTTCGGAGCTCCCATCTTATAAAATTAATTATGAATCCGGTCTTGTGATTATTTCCCAAAACATCTGTAGTATTTACAGTAACTTTGACGATTTGATGTTGACATTGTCTAGTCTTCCCTTTGAG